TCGACGGCCGTAGGGCCGGCGGAACTATTTGCGATAACTAGGTCGCGTAGGGCCGGCGAAATCATTTTTTGAGGATGTCTCGAGCGAAACGCTTGTTTGTCCGAATTGTTTGAGGATGTGTCGAGCGAAACGCTTGTTTTGTATCAGATGTTGTCCTCTCCTGGGGGCCAGAATTCAGAGGATCTCTCAAGTGAAGTGCTTGTTTTCACGTGCCCAGGTCTTGAGGATGTCTCGAACCAGACGCTTGTATTCACGCGTCCAGGTCGCCCAGGCAGATGTCTAGCATGAGGATTTGTTGAGGATGTCTCGAACCAGACGCTTGTATTCACGCGTCCAGGTCGCCCAGGCGGATGTCTAGCATGAGGATGTGTTGAGGAAGTCTCGATCGAGACGCTTTTCTTCACGTGTCCAGGTTGCCTAGGCGGATGTCTAGCATGAGGATGTGCTGAGAACGTCTTGAGCGAAACGCTTGTTTTCACGTGTCCAGGCCGCCCAGGCACAGCACAGCCCTCGGCAAGGTAGATCACGATCGATACCCTTAGCATTGCAGCCTGGCATGTTGCCTGGCACGTTCCGCGGAGCGTCCCGTGGCGAGTCCCCCTGGCACGTCGCGCGGTGCATCCCCTGGCACATCCCGTGGCACGTCCGTTGGCACGTTCCGTAGCGCGTCCCCTTGGCACGTCCCGCGGTGCGTCCCCATGGCACGTCCCCTGGCACGTCGCCTGGCGCGTCCCTTGGGACGTTCCGCGGTGCGTCCTCCTGGCATGTCCCCTCTGTCGATTAGTTCTGGGGCATCTGCTCAGGCAGCTGGAGCTTAACATCAGGATCAGTTCGGTCAGGACTCGAATGCAAAGAGGACTCGATCCACAACGTTATATAGAGCACAATCGCGGCAGGGCACGGCGCAGCGCAGCACAGCTGATGGCACGGTACATCAAGACCGATACACTCAACATTGAAACTTGGCACGTTCTGTGGCGCGTTACGTGGCGAGTCCCCCTGGCACGTCGCGCGGCGCGTCCCCTGGCACGTCCCGTGGCACGTCCATCGGCACGTTACGTAGGGCGTCCCCTTGGCATTCGGCGGCGCGTCCTCCTGGCATGTCCCCTCTGTCGATTAGTTCTGGGGCAGCTACCATGTGCTCAGGCAGCTCGAGCTTAAGATCAGGATCAGTTCGGTCAGGACTCGGATGCAAAGGAGGACTCGATCCACAACGCTACATATATATATATATATAGAGAGAGAGAGAGAGAGAGCACAATCACGGCATGACACATAGCAATTCAGCACGGCGCAGCACAGCACAGCCCTCGGCACGGTACATCAAGGTCGATACATGCAGCATTGAATTTGCCCGTCGCCCAATCAAATGTCTTTGAAACGTTGCCATGCCTTACATTTCTACATTCCTTTCTGGGTTCGTGGGTCGATAATGTTAAGGGCAGTGCATGCCCGCCGCGCTGGCAAAGTGTCGAAGGAGCACATCGCCTGCCAGCGCCCGACGCGTGAAAACCCTTCAGCTTCGGCACCCTCCTGGTGCCCGACGTCCTCTCTGGCGATCAAGCTCAGGCAGGTTGGCACACCATACAGTTGACTGTAAGCCTCGGCTCCTGGGCCGCGAGCGCCTGTCGACGCGGTCACGCCTCGCGGGCAGGTGGCCTCCGAGCCCCGGGCGGCTGCTTGCGGGGGGCTCCCCTTCGGTGTCGGACAGGGGAGGGGGGGGGGGGGCGGCGGGGGGGGGTAGCGCAGCCCCATCGCAGCGCGACGCCGGCGGCCCTTCGGCATCGAGGAGGGGGCTGGAACGGATGCCCCCGCGGCTCGGGGAGAGCGGGGGTGGGTTGCAGGGACGAGGATGATGAGAAGGTCGTGGGGAAAGAGGAGGAGACGGAAGAGGGGACGAGAAACGGGAGGAAGGAGAATAGTGACGACTCGCCATCGCTCGGACGTCCATTCCCCGTGCATTGTTCGGCTTCGTGCGTGTATCTTTTTGCTTGGTGATCCTAGATGCTCCTCGATGGTCATCGCCGAAAAAATGCACACGTCAGAGCGATGCCGAGACGATGGGAATGCGCAGGACAAGGACGAGGATATACGAGGAGGACGAGGGGGCAGGAAGGGATGGAGAGCCAACAAAGGCTGCCGCGTGATATCGGTGGAGCTGAACGCAGCGACGCGCACACGCACACGCACACGCACACGCACACACACACACAAACACACACACATACACGCGCGCGCAGACGCACACGCACACGAACACGCACGTACACGAACACGAACACGCACGCACACGCACACGCAAACGCACACGCACACGCACACGCACACGCACACGAACACGCGCACACACACAAACACACACACACAAACACTTTTGGCGTCGCGGCCACTCGCGCGGCGGCGCGGCGCAGTGAAGGTCGAGCAAGGAGAGGCGCGCGCGCTGGGCCAACTCACGCACCAGGACACTCGCGAGGGGGCAGTCGCGAGGGGATCGCGGGATGAGGACAGAGAGGAGGAAGCCGACGAGGGGTGAGGAGGGGGCCATGCCGAGGACGAGGAGGCAGCGCGAACAATGGCAGGCCGAAGCCACGAGCGAGGCGCAGCGGAGCCGGCTCCAACGGCAAAAGACCGGGGGCATATGGAGCCAGACATCCGAATCCTGCCGCTCCAACTTTTTCGGTGCGTGGGTGTTTGGAGCGTCGGATCTCTGGGGGGATGGGAGGCAGCCCGTGGGCAGTGCAAGAGGGGGAGGAGTAGGAGTAGGAGTAGGAGTAGGAGTAGGAGTAGGAGTAGGAGGAGGAGGAGGAGGAGGAGGAGGAGGAGGAGGAGGAGGAGGAGAGGAGGAGGAGGAGGAGGAGGAGGAGGAGGAGGAGGAGGAGGAGGAGGAGGAGGAGGGGGGGAGGACAAGCTAGGTGCGCTCGCGTCATATCTGACGTCCTACCCCTCCCTCCCATCCCTTACCATGGCGCTGATTTTCTCTATCCGCGGACGCGTGTCGTAGCGGACCTGTGGCTCCGCGCGCGCGTGCGTAGTGGGTGGTGGTGCGCGTGCGTGCGTGCGTGCGTGCGTGCGTGGTGCGTGGTTGTGGTGGTGGTGGTGGTGGTGGTGGTGGTGGTGGTGGTGGTGGTGGTGGTGGTGGTGGTGGTGGTGGTGGTGGTGGTGGTGGTGGTGGTGGTGGTGGTGGTGTGGTGGTGGTGGTGGTGGTGGTGGTGGTGGTGGTGGTGTGGTGGTGGTGGTGGGTGGTGTGGTGGTGGTGGTGGTGGTGGTGGTGGTGGTGGTGGTGGTGGTGGTGGTGGTGGTGGTGGTGGTGGTGGTGGTGGTGGTGTGCTGGTGTGTGGTGGTGGTGGTGGTGGTGGTGGTGGTGGTGGTGGTGGTGGTGGTGGCGGTGCGGCGCGGTGGTGGCGGGCGGATGGGCGCGCGAGAAAAAGGCCCGCGCTGGGGCGAGAACGCCATCCTGAACGACGGAGGCCAAACACCGATCCGAAAATGAGGCCCACGCTGCAGCGGGAGCACGATTCGGAACGATTCGGGAGCAGAAATGACGCCGGCGCCTCAACGAGAGCAGCATTTTGGGGAAAAAATGACGCCGGCGCCTCAGCGAGAGTCGTTTCCCGGGATTTCCCGGGCATCCTGTGTGTAAAAAGACAGTACGCGGAGGGTGCGCGGCCATCACCCGGACGCCATCAGGGGAAGAGGGAGAGTATTTTCATATTGAGTAATTGTGGAGGAGGAGGAGGAGGAGGAGGAGGAGGAGGGGGAGGAGGAGGAGGAGGGGGAGGAGGGGCAGCCCGTGGGCAGTGCAGGGCAGCAGGGCAGCGAGGCCAGAAGACCAGTAGCAGGAGAGGCGGGCGGCCGCAGCGGCCCAGGGCGGCGGAGGGCACAGGCGAGCCTGGGCCAGAAGAGCATCCTTCAAGAATCAAGAACATGGTTGGAGGCTTGGAAATGAGCACCAGCACCAAATCGAGGGGGTCTCCACGAGGGCAAGATTGTCCTAGATTTTGGTGTTGGTGGCAATCTTTCGATCACCCAGGTAGCATGAACATTACCACCATCACCGAGATCGGGATCATCGTCCCTCAGTGGAGGCACACCGCCGATATTGGTGATGGTGTCAACCTCTAGGCCTCCGACATGAGACCCTCCGTCGGCCAAAGCACACAGAACATCCCCAAGGGCACCCTCCCCAGGATGCACAAGAACATCCAACAAGCACGAAGAACATCAGGGTACCCTCCCCGAACCGACCTCGATCTGATCAATCCCATTGTATGACAAAGCGCGCGGCCGCACACACGGGGCTGACACACGTCCCAAGGATCATCGGCCCTCCCCCTGGGGATCACAGAAGCACGTAAGCAAGCCAGACCTCAGAATTTTTGCACGTCTCGTGCGAAGGCCAGGCCATGGCGGCCACGGCCTCACACGCCTGGTCTCGGCTACGCGCTGGTCGGAAGAACTAGGTAGAAACATCATGCAGGAAGGCGGATCAAGTAGATTGGGCTCGGGCCCGCCCAAATAAGAACACAAAACACGAAACCCGATCGACCCTTGACGTGGGGAGGCCGTTGACACAGGCTCGGACCCGGGAGTCCAGGCATGCCTACTTTCCACGACCGGTGAGCGCTTCAGCAGGCACAGGCGGCGCCCGCAGCACTGGTCGCTCGCTCCAAAAGAACGCTCGCCCTCCGGCGCGGAGGCGCCCCCTCTCGGAGGAGAAGGAGGCGGAGGAAGATGAAGAGGAAGAGGAGGAGGAGGAGAAGGAGGAGGAGGAGGAGGAGGAGGAGGAGGATCACCTTGCGGAGGAGGAGGAGGAGGAGGAGGAGGAGGAGGCTGCCCCCGGGGCCCGCCGCTCCTCCTCCTCTCCTCCCAGGGTGGAGAAGCTCGGCCTGCGGAGCGCGCAGGCTCCCGGGCCGAGCGCCCCAGGAGGTGTGCTCGGTGCGTGGGCTCCGGAGGTCTGGGCCAGCGCCCTACCGGCAGGGGCCCGACCAGAAGACTCTTTCCATGAGAAACCCAACCCTCCTCCTCCTCCCCCTCCCTCCTCCTCCTCCTCCCCCTCCCCCTCCTCCTCCTCCTCCTCCTCCTCCTCCTCCTCCTCCTCCTCCTCCTGAGGACACCCAGGTTTCGGGCCCGTCGGGGGTGGATGAGGAGGGGCCTAAGCGTAGGATCGCGGAGCCTGGCCCTGAGACGGACCGTAGGGTCCGTGGCCGCTTCGTCGCTCCCCCTGGACGTGCCCGCTCGCCCTCGCCTGTCACACGTAACGTCCGTTTGAGGACCACTTTCAGCCCAGTGGTTGAGGGTCGTTCGCGTGATGCTTCGTTCTTGGCGGCTGCGGTTCAGACGGTGACCTCCACCCCCTCTGAGCCTCCCCCCAAGCGACACCGTCCTGGACCGCTGCCAGGGCGTGCCGGGATTTCTGAAGCGACCGTGCTCGCGATTCTGTTGCCGAGTCGGGGTATGGTCCAGTCTTGCCATGCTCGTGGTCATTACCCCTGGTGCTCGCCAGGGCATGTAGTGCTGTGTGTCAGATGCGGCTACTACACCACAGGCCAGGCTGGTCAGCTCCTCCTGGATTGTGTTCCTGTGGTCCCGCTCGGTGAGCACGCCAGGAGGAATCGCAAGCTTTTCCTGGAACGTTTGCACCCGTCGGACGAAGGCCGTCCTGGGTCCAGGCGCATCCCTCAACCCAGGCCTCTGCAAGTCTCCGACCCTGAGGTTTCCTGGTTGCGGCTCTTGAGAGCCTGAGCTGTTTCGGGGCCCGCCCTCAAAAACTTCTCGGATCGGGCTCCTGGCACCTGGGCTTGGCCCTGGTGCCGCTTGCAACTCGTTTGTTTTCTTTCGGTCGGCGGTGTTCAGGTGGAGTGTCGAGAGAGAGGCGCGCGCGCGCGCGTGTCGCGCCCGCGCGCCCCCGTCATCCTCGACAGCTTCGACAGCAGGCGCGCCGCGCCTCCCGATACCGCCGCCGCCTGGTGCTGCTGCTGCTGCTCTCCCCGCGATCCCTTGGGTGGGGGAGGCCCGCACTTGCAGCTAGAGGGACAGGGCGACACCTGCCCCTCGTCCTTGTGTGTCGGCCTGTGCGCACTCGCGCGGCCGCCTCCACAGCGTCGTATCCTCCTCCTCGTCCTCCTCCTCCTCCTCCTCCTCCTCCTCCTCCTTATTCTCCTCCTCCTCCTCCTCCTCCTCCTCCTCCTCATACTCCTTCTACAAGAAGCCCAACCCTGAGACCCCAGGACGTCCATGGATTTTTGGTGTGGGAACGTCACGCTGTCCATCGCAAGCCCATCGAAACCCAGGGCACCCTGGAGGCAAGCAGGATGCTTCTTGGCATGGGTCTCCACTGTAGGGCCGGCGCTTCGTCCTGAGCCGTTTTTGGCCGGTCCCAGGGCCCTGCAAGGGCCCCCGGAAGCCGAAGAGAGACAACAACAAAGGTCCGACCGGACGTCCGAAAGCGTCACGCCCCACTCCTGGGGACGGCGAAACCGTAAAACAGGTCTGCCATGACGAGAAAAGCAGGCGACGACAGAACAACGCAGGATATAGTATTGACAGGTGTGCTTGAGAAAGAGAGACAACGGCAACAACAAAATAACAGCAAAATCATAACAACAAACAGGAAACGCCCGCTGCCATCTCTTGGGGGGGCGTCGGATCTCCGAGGAGGCTCTGGACCCCCCACGGGTCCTGCCCTCGCCTCCCCTTTACGAGGGAGGGCGGTTTCTTTTCAGCACCGCGTGCGGTCGCCTCAAGTGTGCCGGCAGTTCAGGGATGGAAGACGGCGATTTTTATGACAGGGGGTTCACCAGTGACACGCATTGACATTTGAGCACCAGAAACTTGGACGTGTGCAACAGCAACCCGGGTGGAGAGCGGCTCCTTTTCGACCTGGGGATCTCGCTTCAGACTTCCTCAGACTGCACGAGTTCATGACCAGCAGAGTTGCACAGAGGTTTTGGTCCGAAATTGAATTATCCCTGGACTCATCGTTAAACTTTATTGTCGTACTGTTCACAACCCGCAGTTTGTGGTGAGATGCAACGCAGCTTCATTTCAAAATGAGGCCCTCGCCTGAATGATGGCAGGCCCACATGGTGATGGTCGTTCAAGGAGGGGATGCGCTCCTTTTAATGAAAAGGAGGGACGCAAGGCCAGGAGGAAACCTGGAACTGAAGGGTGCACTCCATAATCGTTGATGCATTTGGGGTCTACTCTGGTCCCTCCTCCTCCTCCTCCTCCTCCTCCTCCTCCTTCTGCAGGTACAAGAGAGGTCTGTCTGAAGCGCGCGCGCGCTCGCCCCCTCTGTGCAACAGGAGCGACGCGACGAGCCGGCAGCCAGGCCTTCGAAGGGGCCTTCCCGAGGGCGCGGGCGCTTGAAACGCAGCGCGCGGTGCAGCGCGCGTGGATCGGTGCGCGTGCCAGCAGGCATAGGGCCACGCGCCTGGTCGTAGAGGCGACGGTTGAAATCGGCCCGCAGCGTGTCCTCGGTCCGACGACGGGCGGGCAGGCGGGAGGGGGAGGGAGGGGAGGGGAGGGAGGGGAGGGGAGGGGAGGGGAGGGGAGGGGAGGGATCGGCACGCGACGGAGGCGCCTGGGCTGGGGTCTCGAGGGGAGTGCGCCGGGCGACTGAAGCGGGCAACGTTCGTTCCCGTTCCCTCGCCCTGAGCACCCTCGCGTACGCTGCCCAGGGGGGAGGCGGAGAGGGAAGAAGGGAGGGGGAGGGATGGAGGGAGGAGTGGAGAGAGGATAAGGAGAGGGAGGAAGGAGGGATGGAGGGAAGGAGGGAGGAGGAAGGATGAGAAGTGAGGAGGTGGATGAGGACGAGGAGGGGGACGACGGGGAGAATGAAGATAACGAGGAGAACGTGGAGGAGGGCGTGAGAACGAGAGGCAGGAGGAAAACGGAGGACGAGTACGAGAACTCACTGGCAGCTGCACATCCACATGCTCGTTGGGTGCATGCTCAGTCGCACGGCTTCTGGAGCCTCCTTGCTGCGCACCCTGACGAACTCCCCCCAAAGCAGAGCACGGACTCCGTAAGCCTCACTTCACTTACTCAAGATAACCAGTCGTTTTGGTGTGCCGAGGTTTAGGTCGGACATGTCCCCCTACAGGCGGATTTTGGACGAAAAACAAAACATAGGGCACAAATGCTCAGAATGGTCAAAAGAATCGTCCCCAGACAATGTTTTGACTATTTCTGAATATTCCCCCTGTAGGGAGACAGGCCCGACTTAAGCCGAGGTGTTCGGCTGGTGCCCCCGTTCGATGGGCGCTCACGGGCCCCTCGCAGGCGCCTCGTGCGCTGGGTGGGCGTGCCGGGGCCTCGCCTGGTGCCCGCCACCTGGGCGCCTCGCTGGCGTGGGCGCCCCGAAGCTTTGCCTGGCGCCCGCCTCGGGGGCGCCTCGAGCACCGGCGCGGGCGTGCCGGGGCGTTCGCCCGAGGGCCGGGGCCCGCCCGCGGGGGCCTCGTGGGCACCCCGTGGGCGCCTCGTGGGCGCCTCGGGCGCCGCGCGTGTGGGCGTGCCGAGGTTTCGCCCCGTGCCCGCCCGCGCGCCCGCGGGCGCCTCGTGGGCGCCTAGAGCGCTGGGCGGCCGCAAATGTTGCACCACAGCTTTTGCCGCGCAGTGTGCACCACAGCGCTCGCGCCAACTGGCTTGCACCACATCGCCTGCGCCACACGGCTTGCATCCCACACAGATCAGACCAGACAGCTTGCGCCACATGGCCTAAGCCACATAGCTTGCACCGGATAGTTCGCACTGCATAGCTAACACCACACAGGTTGCATCACATATCGTACACCGCATAGCTTGCTCCGCATGGCTTCCACGGCAACAGTGCAATGACTTACTGTTTGGGGTTCACGCTGGCAAACATAATCCTATGTGCGGGGGGGGAGGAGGAGGAGGAGGAGGAGGAGGAGGAGGAGGCGGAGGCGGAGGCGGAGGAGGAGGACGTGCTGCACGACTGCCCTACCCGACTGGACATTCCACGACCGTGCTCGCCCAAGAGTTCGCGCCTCCTTACCGCATCGCCGACAAGATCATCCACGATAGGAACGCCTATCCCAGTCAGCGTGGCGGATGGTTGGTCAGTGGGCGGCGGGCACCTGCGCAACCACCTGAAATCTACAGGCTACGTAATATGCGTCCCACAACTCCAGCGCCAGAAGGCAAATCGACCGCCGAGCTCACCATCGCGACGTACAGTCTGCAGACCCTCCGTATTTACGCCGACTCTCTGATGATTGGGGGTGCAGAGACGCGTGGCCCTGCCCTGGAGTCCCAAATCGAATTAGAGATGGGGGGGACGAGCTCGTCAACGAATCTCTGGCGCCCTCGCAGCCTCCAAGTCCACCCTCCGTGGCCGCCAAGATACCCCGAATACCTTCGATGATGGCTCCAGAGGGGCTCCGACACGCTGGAGAGACAAGAAACCCAACAAGACGGCCGAAGACACCCCCAAGGCGCCCCCAAGAGGGCCCCAAGAGGAACCCCGAGAGGGCCTTAAGAGGCAACGCCCATTGATTCCGCATAGGTTTTTGGATGATGTTGGCATTCTCGCCTTTTCGGGCTTCGCGAAATGCAAGACGGCCCGAAATGCCCCCAGACCTGCCCAAGCCGTTCCGGAGACGCCCCGAGAGGACCCCAATACGGCCCAAGAGGTCCCCAAGAGAGATCCAACAAAGGCCCAAGGGGAGCTCGCAGGTACTCAGCGGCCGCTCTCGGCGAGGCGAAGATGCAAGAAAAACCCACCCGAGGCTGGAGAAAACGCCAAGAACCGGCGAGTACTGTCGTCGTCGTCGTGGGCAAAAGTAGTTTACGTTAAAAATCAACGCCTCGCTGGACTACCCGTGACAATTATTGCCCGGGCAGTTTCCGCTCACCCGCAAGCACTTGAAACTGGCCCTGGATACTGCATGCCATCCTCCACAAGATGCCCTCTTAAGCCCTAAGCCTCCCAACGCGCACCCAAGAGGCCCCCGAGAAGCCCTGGGAGGGCCCCAAAATGCAACCAGAGCCCTGAAAAAAATCCAAGACGGACCCGTAGGCCTCCAAGAGGACCCCTAAAAGCCCAGAACAGACGCGGAGGAAGAGGACGAATCAGCAACAACTACACGCAAGCATCACGACAGGGTGCGACATCGAAAGCCGCACTGATCTTTCCTGGGGGTCGGCGTAATGGCGTAAGCCTCTTGAGCAATTGCCCTAGGCATGAATACTCGACGATGGCGATGACAGCAATGACAGCAACGACGAGAACACCGACCAGCGACGATGAGGACGAGGGCGGCGACGTGGACGAAGAAACAAATTATCCCAGTGCGACCCTACCTAGGAGTTGGAGCCCCTAGGAAAGCAGCATTAGTAGTAACAGTAAAGCTAAGCTAAAGCTAAGCTAAAGCTAAGCTAAACCTAAGCTAAAGCTAAGCTAAACCTAAGCTAAGGCCAAGCTAACACTAAGCCAAAGCTAAGCCAAAGCTAAGCTAAAGCTAAGCTAAAGCTAAGCTAAAGCTAAAGCTAAAGCTAAAACTAAGCTAAAGCTAAGCTAAAGCTAAAGCTAAAGCTAAGCTGAAGCTAAGCTAAAGCTAAGCTAAAGCTAAGCTAAAGCTAAGCTGAAGCTAAGCTAAAGCTAAGCTAAAGCTAAGCTGAAACTAAGCTAAAGCTAAGCTAAAGCTAAGCTAAAGCTAAGCTAAGTCTAAGCTAAAACTAAGCTAAATCTAAGCTAAAGCTAAGCTGAAGCTGAGCTAAAGCTGAGCTACAGCTAAGCTAAAGCTAAGCTAACACTAAGCTAACACTAAGCTAACACTAAGCTGAAGCTAAGCTAAAGCTAAGCTAAAGCTAAAGCTAAGCTAAAGCTAAGCTAACACTAAGCTGAAGCTAAGCTAAAGCTAAGCTAAAGCTAAGCTAAAGCCAAGCTAACACTAAGCTAAAGCTAAGCTAAAGCTAAAGCTAAAGCTAAAGCTAAAGCTAAGGCTAAAGCTCCCAGGGGACTGGGGGAACCGCGGGGCGGGGACTGGGGGAACCGCCCGGGGCGATTAGCATTGCCCGGCCCCTTTAGCTAACAGAGTAAGAACCCTTCTAGGCAGAGCCTAGGTAGGGAACGATAATAATAACGAGAACGAGGACGACGACGACGACGACGACGACGACGACGACGACGGGGGCGAGGTCCTCAGTGGGAACTTTCTGGGGCTGGCAGCATCCCGCCGACGCAGCGACCTTGACCTTCGCCTCGGTGACTGGGAGGAGAAGCGACGGGCGAGGAAGAGGAGGATGAGGAGGAGGAGGAGGAGGAGGAAGGGGAAGAGAAAGAAGGAGGAGGAGGAGGAGGAGAAGGAGGGGGAGGAGGAGGAGGATAATGAAACGAAGGACGAGATGGAGGAAGGAAAGGATGGAGGGAATTTGTTTACAACACCAAACATCAAGAAAACATAAGAACGACAAAACTCACGAGCCTGCAGCCTGGGCCACATGAGGAGCGGGGCGCGCTGGAAAATGCGCAGAGAAAGAGAGATCGAGAGATCGAGAGAGAGAGCATCTACGCGGCAAGAAGAAGGACCCTGGGAACAACAGGCCAGACCAGTCTAACTCGCCAGAACCACCATCGATCGGAACCCGACCCACTACGCTTAGGTCGGGCGTGTCCTCCTACAGGCGAATTTTGGACGAAAATTAAAAAACCCGCCACAAATGCTCAAGAATAGTCAAACATGGTCAAAAAAAGAGCGTCCCGAGACTATGTTGTAACTAGTTTTGAACATTACTCCTGTAGAGGGAGAGGCCCGACTTAACACTACGCCCTCCCGACGGAGACTCTGACGGCGGCGAGATGAAAGCTGGGCCGCGGCATCCTCCTGCAACTCAGGCCCAGGCGCTGAGACGGATGAGGGGCGATCCTTAGGTCGGGCATGTTCTCCTACAGGCGGATTTTGGACGAACAATTGGAAATAACCTTAAAATATGCAAACCTTAATAAAAACTGATATCAAACAAACTCAAAAATTGTCGAACATAAGAAAACAAGCGTCCCCAGACTACGTTTTAACTATTTTTGGAGATTCCTCATGTAGAGGAGAGGAACGTGCCCGACTTAAGGGTATCCTCCTGCTCCTCCTCTTCGCAGGGGCTGACCTGCACTGTAACGCGTCGTCCTTGGGGTGACGTCCTGGACAGATGCGTCTCCAGGAGCAGGCTCGCCCCTGAGCTCCAATTGAGGGAAGGGGCGAGCAAACGTGTCTGAGACCTCGCATGTGCCCGCGGCTAAGTCTAATGCTTGCAGCGGGCACGCAACCATAATGAATGACGCATCCCTGGCATCGAGAAACAGCATTCTCGGAGCGTGGAAACCGCAGAACCCGACCCCAGGTCCACCACGGCAGCATCCTAGAGGTTTGTCCGCGGACCTGGAGCCCCTAAAACATCTCTCGCGCTGCCAATAATCGCCAGCCCACATCCGCCGATCTTTGCCGGCCCATCGCTACCTGCTCCTTTCACCAACGTGTCTGAGAGGTCCAAGGGCGGCCACATCGGAAGCAGTGTGCCAGCTAGAACGCAAGCAAGCTTGGACGTGATGAATTGCCTATCCACGGATTCGTGCTGCTCGGGAATCGTGTCTGCCGGGCGTCAAATAACATCTTCGGCAAATAACTCAGCTGATTCGTTACGTAGCTTGTGGAAAGTGTCTGTATCACTCATGTCTGGACCATCTAGAGGGCGACCCTTTCGGTCAGGAGCAGTTCGCATGCCCCGTAAGGTTGCAAGGTGATCGAACGGCCGCTGCAATGACGCTTGTAAGATAACTGCCCGTTCGTGGACATACATCACCGCGACATCACAAGGCGGAATACTTCGGAGGAGGAGTATTCCAATTACTCCGCGCGCGGCAGGGGTACGAGCGAAGCATTTCGAAGATAGTTCGGATCAAGAGCGGAGCAGTTTCCGATCTGAAATTGGGGTAACCAAGCTAAAAGCACCAGGCGGATCGGAAACCACTCCGCCAAATGATGCCGGCCGACATCACGTAACGATGGGAATGCTAAGGTGGACGGCGCATGTCTTCGCCGTCGCACATGGATGAAACTTTTGTCGCGGCCGCGTAGCAAACTGGCGCGCGATGCTCAGACAGCCCGAGCATCCGCGGGGACCAGGGAACCGCAGCCCGCCCCGCGGCCCGGGCCGCTCGAGGGCCCGGGGCCCACGCCAGGGCCGAAACGATGGCACGCCACCGATCGGTTGGAATCACAAACGGTCAACGCGTGCACCTCGGTCGCAAGAAGCAGGTAAAAACATGAAGTCGGAAGGTGGGCAAAGTAGGTCGGGGTTCAGGCCCTCCCAGACACTCGCAACGCACAGCGCAAGCGGACCGGTTCTTGAAGCAGGAATGCGCCAGAAGCAGTTGGGATTTGGGAATCCATACATGCCGATGTTCAAAAACCGACGCGTCGAACAAGGACGCGCGATTTGGGTGCAAGGGCCTTGGAAGGCCACGTCGACACTTTGCGGGCGTGACGCGGCCACCGACAGCGGCCAAGGATGGACCGAACGGAAAAGGATGGGACAGCCGCTCATCCTTACTATGATGGTTGGCTGCACTGCGCGCCCCCCATCCACCCCTAGACATTTCTGGAACCACCCTTCGACAAGAGCTGCCATCAAAAAGAGCCCACCCTCGCGCCTCAAGGCCTGCGCAATCTTTGCGCTCGGCCCAGACAATTTCGGAGCCTCCATCAGAAAGTGGGCGGGGATGCACATCGCGGCGCAGGCGGCGCGACAAGGCGTCGACAGCGTTTTCGCTCGAACTGCGCATCGCCTAGGGATGCCGGCACCCCATGTCAGCCGCAATATGCTCTGCTCATATGCCCCGACAACTCGCGGCCTTGATGCGCCCCTTCCAGAGAAGCGCAACCGTTCAGACGCCAGCTGCGCCACGGCCCGGTCGCAGCACAGCCTCTTGACAGACGGTGGCAGGGGCGCGGGGCTGGCCCTCCCCAAGCTACGGAACACGGCGGCGCGCAGCGATCCCTGCGCGAAATCGGGCGGGCACAATGCGAGCTGGATGACAGCCCCGAAATCACCCGCCAATTCCGCGCCCTCCATCTTACTCTGCCCAGGGAAGGCAACGCGGCCGACGGCGGGCCGCGACCCGATCTCAAGGAACTGAACTCTTTTTGCCCCCTGAACCTCCCCCCCACCCATCTCAAAGCTAAGCTCCTCGAGAGTTGAGCAAATCGCATTGTGGGAGCGACTGGGACATAATGTGTTGGATCTTCTCGATGAGGAGACGCGAGGCGAGGGCTCGCTGGCCAGCGCTGGGTTGACATGTCGCCCAAAGGTGTCTTCCAGCAGCGGCAACTTCGCCGCCCGAAGAAGCCCCCGATTTCAGCCCCATGCGCCAGCCCTGGCAGGGGGGCGATCACAAATATGCGCTTGGCGAAACGACCTGGGACCTTCTCGCGACGCTCGATCCTGCCGACTTCTGTCTTGCAAGCTTTCAAACGCATACCGGACTTTGGGCGCCTCTCTCCTGGGCGACAGGGCCCCCCCCCTCCCCCCCCCGGCGTGCGTCGCCAATCCCGCGTTTCACGGCTGCACTGACGCGCCTTCCTGCCAGCTCGCCCACCAGCGCGCGGATCCTGGCGACAAGCGCAGAAGAGCAAGCAAGCAATGGGGCTAGCCTTCTCGGCGGAGACTTGGCAGCCCAAGTCGGACTGGATCGCGTCGAAGCTGAGGTCGAAGCCTTCGGCGATGTTTTCGCGAGCTGCGATCTGGTCGTCTGGTGGATACTGCAGTCGCCCATGCAGACGTCTAACAGACAGACTCGAGGGAGGACTCCAATCTCGAGGCCCCAGGCGGCGAAAAATCGGACAAGGGCGGCGACCGTCGAACGTCCCGCGACCGCCCCCTCAACGGCGCGTCGCTGGCCTCGCACCGGGCCCCCATCGACGGGGGCCGAGGGAGCTCGCAGGACGCATTGGCCAGGCGAGCAAGAGGAACGGCGAAGCGTGCCTCGACGGCTCTCGAATGCAGGAAGTCCAGCAAATCAGCTCGCACAGCGTGAACACGCCCCGTAAAAAGGCAGCCGCCGACGACCCTGCTGAGCGAGCAACCTCCGAACGAAACGCTCGCCCCCGGCACCCCATAGAGATGCGAGGCCCCTGCGACATCGGCCCCGCAGCCTGCGACTGGATGCAAATGCCTATCGGACAGAACCCTCCTGCTGGTTCCGCTGCGAGCGCGGGTCGCAATCCATTCCTTCCATGAAAGACTTCGATCGACGGAGTTGAACTCGGCGCGGACATGCGCTGATCACTCATGGCCGAATAATGTAGCAGATGGTATCCGTCGACGGAAACTGCTGCTCTCTGCGAATACGCCCAGCCAACGCGTCCGAGCTCCTCCGCTGACAGGGTCGGCAGCGCAGGGCGCGGCTCGAAGGCGCCAGGCTGCTCGAGCGACGCATGACAAGCAAGCCGAGGGCGCGAACAAAAACGAGCGGGTTGAGCATCGAGCAGCGAAATCAGATCTGCTACTAGGGTAGGCGGCCGCCATGGTTCTGATCCCTCGATAACCGCATGCGCCTTCCTGCCTCGCTGATCTATCTTGCCCTGAATAAACTTCTTCCAGTCATGGCGGGCACGAGCGTGGTCCGCGGAGATCACTACCTGGCTGCAAGGCCTCATCCACTCTGCCTTCAGCAGCGCTGCTTCGACCTCCGAATCCAAACCATACTCTGAAACACCAAACTCAAACAGAACGAAGCTGGGGGTGAGCGCCTCCTGAACCTACACGCGGGATCCTGGTCTGCTCGGCCCCGGGAACCTCCTGCTCCGTTGGTTGACCCACGCCCTGCGCGAACGCACGATCCCGTCATGCGCTAGCTCCGCGCTGCCTGCGTCGACCGAATCAGCCACTCGCCTCGCTTGCTCGCGCGCTGAATCCCTCCGCCGAGGCGGCGCTGGCGGCGGCCCTGCAACATTCTCGACCGCGATGGGCGGCGGCGCCCTGGAAGCCAGCCGAGCGGAAAATCGCGCGCGCTGGAGCGCGGGCTGCGATCTCTGTCTGAGATCGCCTTTTCCAGGCTCCCCGAAACGATGAGTCGTCGCGGATCTTGACCCCCCCAGTGACCACGCACATCCATGAAAAAATAATTTGGCCCTGATGCCGCCCCGCCACCCCTGAACTGACATTCGGTAATAATAAAATGAGTCAGCCGCTGCCCGTAATCTAGTAGC